TCCCAACATTTACTAATTTCAATTATCTCCTTTAAGCATATATCCAAACAAAACCAACATTAATTTGTTTCATATAACATTCTATTCAAAGCCTACACGTATCATCCAGTTATCTTGAAATGGGCCACCATATATAGTTATATCAAACCCGCAACCAACGTACTATCATTCAAAGCCAAGACTATAGTGGACATGAATAGCTCCCTTCTCTTACTTCGCCGATCTGATGAATTCAGCAACTATATTTTAAATGGTTCGTATCGCGTAAAATGGTCCGATGTGGGAGCAAAAAACATATATAATCGTTGTTTGATCGCTACAGATGGAAGGATATTGGTTCAGGGGATTTATTCTATGTAGGGTAAGTTCCCTACATAGATCTCTTTTTGCACGAACTTCGGAGCTGGGTTCTGGTCGGTTTTGGATTCGGATTTGGGTTTGGGTCTGGGGGTTGAATGGGAGATGGGAGGTGGTGGAGGAGGAGAGAGTTCGCTAGCTAGAGAGGAGGAGCTTGTCAATGCTAGCAGGCGAGACGTTGTGGGGTTCTGAGAGGGTCTTTCGAAATTTTCTTGAGGGAAGCTTGGATAATTTTTGGAGGGTGAAGGGGGTGAAGGGATGATTGTGTTGAGTTGAGAGGGTGGTGGACACTAAGAAATATATTGTTATTATTTGTTTAGTGGTACAAACACACTATACTCTCAAATACAAATACTCTCTTTCTCTCTCTCTCTTTCTCTCTACTACTGGGATATTTGTTCGATGCTCTAACCATTTACCACTCTTCTCTATTTATAGTATTCAAAAGGGTTGGCGGAATAGTATTTTTTGGTTGGTGGAACAGTAATGGGTTGGTGAGTTACTGTAGCTAAATAGGTGGAGAGGTTAGGTGGGGTGGAGAGACTTCTAACACTCCCCCTCAACAGGGACTTCTCTATCCACAAGTCTAAGAATTCTAACTTACTTTTTAATGCTTGGATTTCTTCTCTCACTGCTTGTCTCTATTCTTCACTCTCGTATGCTTCTTTCAAGGTAGATGGCTCATTCACATCTTTCATAATTGCCACATTAGCATACTTGGGATTCGGCTTCCTGAGTCTAGTTGATCTTCGAAGTTGTTATGTTGGTTCTTCTTCGATATTTTCTATCTGGCTTGGACGTTCTTCTTGTGACGTTGTTTGATAAACACTAGTTGTCCATGGATTATTCTCCTTTGAGGATGCTGAAGAGCTTGATTTTGTCTTCTCTGATTGACGTAGTCCTTCTTCTTGACCTGGCTCCCCCAGCTTCTTCTGCAACTGATCCTCTAGATCACTAGAGTCTGGGAGTGCAACTTCATGTGAAGCCCACCAAGACGAGGCTTTGTTAAACACAATATTCCTTGATGTGTAGCACCATCCGGTTGTGGGATCACAACATATTCATTCTTTTCTTTTATTGTCATACCCCATAAATATACATCTTACAGCCTTTTTATCAAATTTGTCACGTAAGTGATCAGGAACAAAGACATAACATACACAACCGAAGACTCGGAAATGGCTTACTGTTGGGTTGGTATTTCACAACTTCTGAAAGGGTGACATGAGCTCTAGTTATGGCTGTGGTAGCCAATTGATCACATGCGTCGTCGTCTTCATACACTCTGCCCCAAAACATTCTGGTACGTTCTTGGCATGAAGCATGCTTCGACATATCTCCGCAAGGTCACGATTCTTCCTTTCAGCTACGTCATTCTTCTTTAGAATATTTAGGTATGTTAGCTATCGCCGAACCTTGTGCTGATTTAGGTAGTCGTAAAACTCCTACGATGTGTACTCTCCTCCGTTGTTTGTGCATAGGCAAAGAATCTTCTTGCCAACTTCTCCTTCGACTTCGTCTCGAAATTGCTTGAATTTGGAGAGTGCTTCAGACTTTTCCTTCATAAAATTAACCCAGACATACCTCGAGTAATCGTCGATGAAACTGATCATGTAACGCATCCCACCGATTGATTCTTATTTTACTACCAAATACATCTAAGTGTACAAGCTCAAAATGTTCCTTGGCTCTGAATTGTGAATACTGATACGGTAATTGATGTGCCTTACCGTACTGACAACCTCCATATATGGTCCCTCCGCGAATATCCAAGTGTGGAAGACCCTTCAATGTTGACTTCACCATCATGATCTTGAGCTTGTGATAGCTCACATGGTCAAGCCGAGCATGTCACAAATTAGCCGTCTTATTTTTTTTAGTTTTATCTATGTATGATGATTCTGCTGACATCACATAGATAGATTCTACCTTCCGTCCCTCCATGATAGGTTCTCATGGTGGCTTTAAGTTTTAATAGACTTTTACATCTTGTGGCCCAAATACTACATAGTTTTCAAAAGTAGCTAATTAGGAAACAGATAGAAGATTTTTTTTTTCATACTCGGTTCATGGTATACATCTTGTAGTTATATCTAATTCGGGTTGTAGCATGGCGTAAATACAGTCTTTCCGATGTGTGTTATAGGTAATCTCAAATTATTCGCTATCATAACTTCTTGGCCACCTTTATACTCCTTCATGTTGATAAGATTCCCCTTATCGCCTGTCATGTGGTTGGAACAGCTAGAATCAATGATCCAATCTTTATTATAGCTGATTTCTTCTCGATTTGAAACTGTTGCAAATACAAACTCAGATTCTTCTACAATCGAGGTTAGTATCATACCATCAACCTTGTTTTCGTCGACCGGTACATCTTCAATGATGGCCACAGATGCTTGGACACCCCATTCTTTTTCATCATCTTGACATCTGCACGATGTTGCAGCATTACCCTTTGTAAATCTTCTCTTGTAGCGGCAGTCTCTGACAAAGTATCCTTTCTTCCCACAGTTATAATAGCTATTGTCAGGTCTCCTTACTCGACAATCATCTTGCTCCTCATGATGTTGTGTTCTGTCGGTGTATGGTCATCGTGACTACCTCCTTAAACTAGCCTTTCCATACTTCTCTTTCCTCGCGCCTCTTGGTTTGCCTCTCTCCTTGCTGCTGAAGAGTGTTTCATCTTTGCTTTTTATTGAAATGCCGGCCATTTGTTTGGCTAGGGTTTTTTTTGTAGCGAGCAAACTCTTCAACTCTAATTATATTGGTTGAGTTGGCCATCCATGTGTAGCAGCATGAGTCCGTGATATTTTGGTCTCAAACCGTGGATAATTATTCTCCTCATCCTTACATCGGATACTTTAGAATCTGGATCAAGTTAAGCAATATCTGAACAAAGTGATTTTACTTGCTTGAAGTACTGATTGATTGTCAGATCCTTCTATTGCAAGGTCATCAATTGATTCTCTAGGAGTTGAAGTCGAGCATCATTCTTCTTCAAAAAAAGTATGGCAAGCGTATCACATGCCTCCTTTGGAGTTCTAGCATCTCGCATGCAATCTACGAGATCTTCTTCTACTGTTGTCTTCAGCACATTCATAGCCTTGCCGGCTTTGATGTTTTACTTACTAAGTACTTCGCCAGCCTCCTGAGGTGTTGTAGTTTCACCACCCCCAATGACCTCTTAGAGGTCTTGTCCTTATAAATAGGACTTCATACAGGTCTCCCAGCAGCTGTAGTTATTGCCATTGAGCTTCTTGAGTGTCGTAGTTATACTTGCTAGATCTGTCATCATGATGCGGTACTGCTTCAGTATCTCCACGCAAGTCTGGTCCCTGACCAGCCAACTGTACAGTCCCTGACTGAGCACGAACTTTGGCCTTCAATAATACCGATAGGATCACCGTAGGAGAGAGCAGGTCTCTGACCGCCTTGCTTCTATCACGAGCTACAACTTCTATTATTTCACGTGAACAGTAATCGTGCTTATGAACAGTAACCGTATTCATGAATAGTAACCATGCTTATGAATAGTATCATACTCGTGAATAGTAAACAGTACCTTTAATGGATAAATGATAATCTAACTTATTTTCTGATATGGAGGATCTACCTTTGGTGGTAGTCACAGAGCATACGATAAGTAAATACACGCACCCTAAATTAGGCTCTGGTATCACTTGTTGAGTTCAGAGGAATGGTGGACACTAAGAAATATATTGTTATTATTTCTTAGTGGTACAAACACACTATACTCTCAAATACAAACTCTCTCTCTCTCTCTCTCTCTCTCTCTCTCTCTCTCTCTCTCTCTCTCTCGTATACACACTCTCTCTCTCTCTCTCTCTCTCTCTCTCTCTCTCTCTCTCTCTCTCTCTCTCTCTCCTATTGGGATCTCTATTTGATGCTCTAACCATTCACCACTCTCTTCTATTTATAGCTTTCAAAAGGATTGGTGGAACAGTATTTTTGGGTTGATGGAACAGTAATGGGTTGGTGAGTTATAGGTGGAGAGGTTAGGTGGGGTGGGAGCTGTTGACTTCTAACAAATTGGGCAGTAGATGGAGCCAAAGAGGCAAGGAGGGGAGGGTTAGCAGGGTTTAGAGGAGATGTTTGTCTGGAAGAAGAAAGCGGGGAGTGAGAGTGAATACATTATTTCTTAGGGCCTTTTTTGTTAAAGTGAGCATCTTTTTTCATAGATGAAGGAAGTTGGGAGTGAGATGAGCTCAGGATGCAGTAAGAGAAGAAGAGTGGTCTGATATTTAGTGTTAAAGAAAGATTGGTAGAGGCCAACAATTTCAAAGGAAACGTAGGGAATTTCCCAACGTTTTTAGTGCAAACGTTGGTCATCCCAACGTTTGCTCAAACGCGCGTACCAATATGTTGCTAGCTACCAATTATTTTGTAGTGAAACTTATAAACTCTGGAACATGTATACAAATTTATGATTTAGTAGGTCTCATTCGTCTTGTAATTCTATTAGTAATCTTGTGCAATTTGTTTTCAATATCTATCTGCAACTTATTCCAAAAATTAGTTCATTAAATTGCGTATTTCTGACAACATGCAGGTCGAGATTGAGGAATTATTTCAGTTGTGTTCAGCTTAATTAATGAATCAAACACAGTTTGCAAACTTACTGGTCTCTGCTCAAAAGGAACTTCAATCTCGGACCCAGGATCCCAACTCTGACCTGCAAATCCTCCCATTCCTCCATTAGCTTCATCTTTCAAGGCCTTAACGTTTCCGAAACTCCTCAATCTCAAAGGCAACGAGGGAATCCTCAAACTCTTGACATCGAGGACAAACCCATGATGTGGCTCTCCAGCTCTTGCAATTCTTCTGCAGGTAATCGCGTGAGCAGTCACCTGCAGCCTGAGCATGGCTTGGTTCTCTAACCGTACATTGTATTTTTTTTTCTTCTTCTGCTGATTGAGCTCAATTAAAAGCAAGCGAAGAGAGTGAAAAGAAAGGGAGCTTTGTGGCCATGCAAATTTTACGTGGAGAGAATCGTTTTGTTTCTTATCCAGGATTAGGTGTGGATCTTGTACTGAAGGAAATGTGGGCCGTGATGATCTAATGGCCGTTGGATTGAGGATGTGCGTGTTTGATGTTGGCTTTTGCTGTTTGAGTGCGGAAATTTCTGGGTTGCTTTCTGTGAGGGGTTGAAAGAAGCTCGTGGATTGGAATGTGGGAAACGTGGCGTTGGGATTCTTGCTGGGTGCCATTGCGTGGTGAGCCTCAGGATCTTCGTTCCACCTTGGCATGGCCACGTGGTTTAGTTGGGGATCTTCGATTATGATTCGTGTTGGATTTTTTGGTCAAAACCGTTTTTCAAAATGAGTTTTCAAACTATATATATATTAACTACAAGTACTTTCATAAATGCTTAGTAGCCTAGTGGAAAGTTAATGTTTTGATGTTTCAAACTGTCCCTTATTCGAGGCTTGCTAACGGCAAGCCGAGAAGTGTTTTATTCGAATTAATCCCTTATAAGTTCTCGTGGGCCGCGGGCCGTGGGCCGGAGATCGGGGCTAATCGGACTGAGGCGCTAAGTGGCGCTTTATTAGGCACACTTTACACTTCGCACGGAGGCATCGGGGCGAGGTGACGCCACGTTGGTTGCCTCGCAGGCTGCTTCGCAGCATGCGGACGAGCTACGTATTCGCACGAGGGTGTGACCCTAGCGTTCTCGTAGTTTGACGAGGTTCGCTCGTTCAACGAGGTTCATCTGTCATACGAGGTTCGCCTGTTTGACGATGTTCATTCGTTCGACGAGGTTCATCTGTCATACAAGGTTCGCTTGTTTGACGAGGTTCGCTCATTCAACGAGGTTCGTCTGTCATACAAGGTTCGCTTGTTTGACGATGTTCGCTCGTTCGCCGAGCTTTGTCTGTCATACGAGGTTCGCCTGTTTGACGACGTTCGTTTGTCAAACGAGGTTCGTCTGATTTGCTGAGACGTGACCCTCACGTTTCATAGCAACGCGTCCATTGATTGTCTCGTATTCAGGAGTTACTGTATACAGCAGTTACAACAGCAATTAGAGCAATTTAATACATTGATGTTACAATCTTAATTGCCATTGAGAATTATAACAGTCATATTAATTGCTAGTGATTCTTGAGCTGGCCTTAGAGGTCTATAAATAGCGCTCTTGGGCAGCTCTTGGTTGCTGCTAGAAACTCTCGCAAGCGTGGAATACGAATGTCGGTATACACACGCGAGCTTGGAAAACGAACGTCGGATCGACGTTGTTGTTACTATTGTTGTGCTGCTGCTGCAGAACTGTGCCCGTAGGAACCCTAAAACCGAAAGATTTTGAACCGAAAGGTTCTGAGATTGAGGAGATCTTTTGCCTTGACCGAAAGGTCTTATAGATCGAGGAGATCTTGACAGTACTGAGTTGGTGCACACCATAGTACTGTACTGCTGTTCCTAGAAGCAGTTTGGCCATGGGATCCTTACACCGAAGTAGGCCAAATATTGCTTTAAGCACAGAGTTTCACAAACGCACAGCAGTTAACTTGAAAAAGTTTAAAATTATAGCATATCATCCTTCATTGTTTAATTCCAGATTTAACCTTAGTTTCCAGCATTCTTAAAACAATATTTCAAATCTACTAATGGATTCTGCGAGGACTCTTGGAGTGGACTGTCTCAAGTTAAAAAACTTTGATGAATCTAACTTTAACACATGGCGTCAAAAAGTGATTTTTGGGATGCAACTCCTAAAAATCTACTATGTGGTTTTTGAAGAGAAACCTGACTTTGAAGAAGATTCAGAGTCTGAAGCCTCTTGGGATAAAGATGATCATTTCTGTATGAGTTATATTCTTAACTGTCTGGCTAATCATCTAGCAGATGCTTACACCATGCAAAGGAATTCTGGAATGCTTTGGAGGAGCAATACAAGGATGATGAGAAGCTTTCTAAGTCTCACCTCGTTGATAAGTTTTTTGACTTCAAATTTGAAGATGACACTGAGGTTTTGCCTCAAGTCAAAGAGCTCAAAAATCTTGTTATGAAGCTGAAGGATGAAAAGATCAGTCTTTGTCAAACCTTCATTTCTGGTGTAATTGTCAACAAGCTTCCTCCATCTTGGAGATATCGTTCTCTACGGACATTCGAAGAAGGAAAAAATAGGTGACTTTGTCTGATTTGAAGAGGTTCATTCAGATCGAGGACGAGATTCGAACTCGCACTAAGAATGAGCTCCTAGTTAAGCAGAAGGCGTCTGCTAACATGGTGGCTACTAACTCTGAGAATAGTACCAGTTTTTCTTCTAAGAAAATGAAATCTTTTAACAAAAAGAAGAATCATAATTCAAAGAACCTGAATGTTCAGAAGAAAGATTTTAAGAAGAGCGGCAAATGCTTTAATTGTGGGAAGTAAGGACATTTTGCCAAAGACTGCAAAGCACCAAAGAATGAAACAGTACACAATGTTAATCAACTTGACAATTGTGTGGCTATGCTCTTTCAAGTGATAACTCCCAGCAAAGTCTCTGGTTGGTGGTTAGATACAGGTGCTACCTGTCATGTCTTCTCCAACAGAGATTTGTTCTCTTCCTATGTTGCTGTCAAAGAGAACGTATCAATGGCTTATCGTTCTATGGTTCCTGTTCTTAGAACTGGGACTATAGTGCTGACTCTTTCTTCAGAGAAGACTCTAATATTGAAGGATGTGAAACATGTTCCTTCAATTGCCAAAAACATAGTCTCTAGAAGCCTACTGTGTGACTCCGGTATGAGGCTAGATTTCCAAGGAGGAAAGGTTGTGTTATCTTTTAAAAAATATATATATTAGCAATGCATATCGTACTGATGGCATGTATAAGATCAGTACTATTATACCCAACTCAGTTGTTAATGAAGTATCCTCTTCTGCTTACTCCTATGTATTATGACATAATAGGCTAGGACATGTAAATTATAGAAAGCTGTCTAGCATGAAGAAGTTAGGATTACTTTCGAAATGTGGGGGTAACAAACCTGACAAGTTTGAAGTCTGTGCGCAAGCAAAGCTGACAAGAAAATCATTTCTAAGTGTCACAAGGAGCACCAACCTATTAGATCTGATTCACTCAGATACTTATAATTTCAAGAGCTTCGTCACTCGAGACGGCATGAAGTACTTCATCACCTTCATTGATGACCACTCTCGCTTCGGTCACGTCTACCTGCTAAAATCTAAAGATGAAGCCTTCAATGAGTTTGTCGAGTTTTGGACTCGAGTCGAAAAGCAGCTTGGACTTCAGGTGAAAAGACTCAGGAGCGACAGAGGAGGAGAGTACCGATCTAAGGAGTCCAAGGTATACTTCAAGGAGCATAGAATCATTGCTGAAACTACTGCTCTGTATTCTCTGCAATCTAATGAAATTGCAGAAAGAAAGAATCGTACATTGGGCAGAGGCTTTGTTGATAGAAAATTAGATTTTATACAGAGTCCCATATTCCAAAACTGATAGTACTCCTCATCAGTTATGATTGGGATATCCAGATCCTTTGGATAGTCTCAAAGTGTGGGGATGTCTTGCATATGTTCGAGTTCCAGATATAAGAAGGCCTAAGCTCGGACTAAAGGTAAACAAATGTGTGTTTCTTGGCTTTGCTGAAGATAGTGATGCTTGCAGGTTCATTGATATTGGAACCAACTCCATCATTGAAGCTCAGGATACAGAATTCTTTAAGGATAAGTTTATCAAAGATAAAGGTTTATTGATCAAAGATATAGCACAGAATGCTAGTACGTCAGATGCACTAGAGGAGCCAGTTTCGCGAGAAACTGAAAGTGTCAGTGATGAAGGAATTACTGAACCATCTTCCAAGCGTGTTAGGAGACAGAAAGATTTTGGAGATGACTTCATCACATATAATGTGGAAGGAGACCCACAGACTTTCCAAGAAGCAATGCAGTCAACAGATGTTCTTCTATAGAAAGAAGCTATAGATGATGAGAAGGATTCATTGATCCAAAATCACATGTGGGAGCTGGTGGATGTACCTGAAGGTGCTAAGCCTATCAGTTGCAAGTGGATCTTCAAGAAAAAGCTTCGTCCTGATGGTACTATTGAGAAGTACAAAGCAAGACTGGTAGCAAAAGGATTTCTCTCAGAGAGAATGAATAGATTTTTTTAACATTTATGCACCAGTTTGTAGGATCACTACCATCAGAGTGCTTATCGCATGGGCGGCGATAAAAAAGTTCGTCATGCATCAGATGGATGTGAAGACTGTCTTTTTCAATGGAGACCTCACAGAAGAGATCTACATGGAGAAACCAGAAGGACTTGATGCTCCAGCTGGTAAGTTTGTAAACTTATTAAGTTTCTATATGGACTTAAGCAGTCACCGAAACTCTGGCATGAGAAGTTTGATTGGGTTGTTCGCAACAATAGGTATTGTTTGGGTAGAATATTGTATTCTTTATTGTATAACTCATTATAACTTCGATCGTTACAACAAGTTCAGAAAGATCGGTCTTTTTATAAGACCTTTACACAATAAAAATAAAACTTACAACTCTCGTCAAACAGCATAACGGGTGTTTATCGTCCGCTGCTTGCGTAGGATCTTGGCCTGTGACGGGGACGTTGATATTCATGGACCACCAAACGATCAGATCTGATCTAAAACTTCGTTGATTCGTGAAGAAATCAAGAAACCGAAGCAGTTATCTCAGCAACAGCGAGATAACCACTCTTCTCGAGATCACCGCAACGGGGCAATCTCAAGGAAGGAACCGGGAAATGTAGATCTGACGAGCTCCTCTTCTTTATGCTGACGAACTTGATCCGATCTCTCCTCCTCCTTCCTAAAATTCGTGGCTCTTCAGTCCTCAATTCGGCAGGGCTTCGCCGAGGTTCGAGAATTTTATGTTAGACCCTAGAGGGGGGTGATTAGGGTCTTATGCTAATCTAATCTGATTTTATGCCAATTAAAACTAATTAATGAGTTATCCTAGCAAGTATGAAATACAATATGAT